GCACGGAAAAGAAACGCTTCCTGTTTCCCTCCCGTGCCCCCATGCACCCGCCTCACCAAAACAAGTCACCCTTTCCTTCTTAAAGCGGCGGCCACCGGAGGAGCCGGCCGGGGACAAGAACACAATGGACGGGGTGCAAGTCGGCGGCCCCTCTGACAGAGAGCGGGGAGCGTGTACGGTCCGGGGTTCCCGTGCTAGGGGGACGGAGACGGGGAAGCCACCCCGCCGGCCACTCGGCGCTCCGCATCCCGCAGCATCTGGGGCGGGCGTCTGCGGGATGGGTCCCGGGCGGCCGGGCTCGAGGAACAAAGCTGCAGGAAGCCGGGCCGCGGCGGGGCCCCAGCGCGCGCCACACAAAGCGGGGGCTGCGCCCGGGGCGCCCGGGGCCCGCGCACAAAGGCTCCGGGGCGCGTGCGGCTAGCGGTCCGCGCCGCTGTCCCCAAGCTCCGCGACTGCCCAGCTTTCTGTTTGTCTGGGGCGGGGGGCGCGGGAGGGGACGCTGCGGTCAGAAAATGTTAATCAGCCGAGAATTGCAACCGCTTTCCTTCCTCCTCCTGCTCCTTTCCCCTTCCTCCCCTCGCCCTCTTATAGATTTCAGCAGTTCCCTAAAAGAAAGAGAAGGGGGGGCGGGGTGGAGAGGGAGAGCGAGCACAGCGGCGCAAGGCTGACCTTGTCCCTGAGCCCCTCCCGGGCGACAGCAGGGCAGGAGGACCTGGAAGACGCCCAGCAGGAGGTTCACGGCCGCGGCGGTGCGGCAGTAGCAGCCTGGCTGCGGGCGTCGGAGCCCCGCCATGCTGGTGCTCGCGCTCCTCTCGGGTGCTCGCCGCGCTCGCCGCTCGCTCGCTGGCGCCGGGGCTGCCTCGCCCCGGGCCCGCCCCCGCGCCGCCCCGCCCCGCCCCGCGCCGCCCCCGCCCCGCCCCTGCCGCCGCCCCCGCAGCTGCTGCCGCTCGGGCCCCGGGCGCGCCGCTCGCTCGGCGCGCGTGTGCGCCACAGATAGGGAGGGACGGGACGCGGCGGGGCGCGGGGGAACGTGGACAATGCGAACGCGGCGGCCCAGGACGCCCCGCCCGGGCGCGGACCCCACGGCTGCGGGCCCGCCCCTCAGCGCCCGCCGCGTCCTGCCCAAATCGGCCGTCCCCGGGCACTGTCTGCGGCAGTGACGGGGTCGCTGAAGAGCTGTCGGGAGGGACGCCCCGGCCACTGTCGCCAAGTGCGAGCTGAGGAACTTTCGGATGGTTTCCTCTTTCTTTGGGCACGCGGGCACAGTCGGGTTGTTACCCACGAGCGAGAGGGCGGCGCCGGAGGCGGGGGGAGCGTGGAGTCGCCCGGCCAGAGGCCTCAGACAGGATATTAGTGGAAATAATGCAGTGGTTGTCAGGAAACGCTAGTGCAGCCACATGGCTACGGCCAGTTGTGCAGCGAGGATATCCGGTGGCTGCAAAGTCTGTAATTTAGAATAAAAAGAGCTCTCCCGAGCCCCGAGAGGCTGACCTCAGCGAAGCGTGGCGGTGGCGTGCCCGGCAGCTTCCGTGGAGACGGTCCAGGTTGTGACAGGTGGGGAAGCCTCTTCCTAGGGCATTTATAGCTTCAAAGACCCTGCAGATACTCCCCGGAGGATTCATATTGCAAAGTTCAGCCAGCCTCTTCTGAAACATGGTTGAGGTCGAGGACGTGGTCAGTTGCCTGTTTCTAACATTAAGTGGATAATGTACATGATACTTGAGAATGGATTTTCTAGCCCCACTATTTGATGCCTATAACCAAAAAGTACGTCTAATGCCTGAGATCTCTTTTAAGTTTAAGATCATGCCTTTGCCAGCGATATCACAAAGGTTTATTCAGGAATCGCTTTGCAAAGCCTGGAAGTATTGTCAGGCATAAGATTTTTTTAACTAGTTTGCTGCTTCCAGAGCAGTTTGTATGAAATTCAGAGAATATGGGCAGTGTAGAAGAAAGCCGGGAAGTAACTGGGGCACACCTGTCTGCTTACATTGATCCTCTTATTTGTTTCTGGTGCCTTACAGTCTAGACCACTGAAAGCAGTGGTCAAATAGCAGGACAGATGCCAAAGAAGGACTAAATCAATCATGGATCCTCACTCTCCCAAGGAAAAAGTCACTTTGCATTATCCAACTTCAACACCTCCAGTATTCACTCTGTTCCCTGCCTTTTCCCTGTGTTCCCTGCCGGCATCTTCCTTTCCATGGCAAGGATCTTCAGTCCCATTCTAATGTGTCCCTTTTTTTCTTCGTTTCACTTCTCTAGGTTTGTATTTGCCCCTTGAGCTCTGAAGGTTCTCCCACTGTGTTAAGGGATCCTCTTCTGACAAAAAAAATATTTGCATAGCCCGGGTAGACAGTAGTAACTGCACCTTCAAAGTTTGTTCTTAAATGAAAGTTCTCTCATTGGCCTATTTATTTACAATATGTATTTTTAAGTCCTCTTACGACTTAGAAAGGAAAACAAGCAAACTTTGATGACCTAACAGGTTTTATGAAACAGGCTTAATAAAAAGTCACCGTATGAAACTTTTTTACTAATTTTTTTTCTTATTTTTAAACTATTTTACCTTTTTTTACTAAAAGTCTTGCCCACACTAGCTGGTATCACAGAATCCATGAAAGTGCCTTAAAAGAGGAAAATTGCTGGGGACCATATGTAAAAAGAGCTCTATTTTGTTCTCCTCCTGAAATTTTTTAAGGGCCAGCTTGATTTTCAGGTCGTGGTCTTGTGGACTTTCCAAAGTGGGTAATGTTATTTGACTGTTGTTCAAAAAGCCAGCAGCATGTATCTGCAGTACCATGGGGTTGGAGAGGGATACGGGATTACACAGCTGTCTTCTTAGATAAATCTGACCTACTTAGCCTCCCCTGGAGGTAGTTTTCATGCTGACTCATGAACAACAGGAAAGTTATGGCCCATTAAGTAGCATCCATGTTTTGAAGTAAACTTGTTCTCCAAAGAAGACTCCTTTGTCATTTATTCCATTATTTGCCTTTAGGTAATAAATATGCAATTGTCACAGAATATTAGGGCTGGAAAAATTTTGGCTATTAAATAATAGCCCAACTGCCTAATTTTATAGAAGGAGAAACTGAAGCCCAGACAGGCTGAGAAATATGCAAGTTGTAGTGGCAAAGTTGTGGAGAAGTACGTAGAGATAATGTTAATTGAAAAAAAAATTATTGTAAACATGAATTAACAATATGCAAATTATATACACAAAACTAAAGCATGGAAGAGGCACTAAGGAGATACCTTACTAGAGTTAATCAATTTTAACTTAGATCCACATAAGTTAAATTTTTTAAAAAAACACACATCTAGGGGTGTCTGGCTGGTTCAGTTGGAAGAGCAGACGACTCTTGATCTTGGGGTTCTGAGTTGGAGCCCACACTGGGTGTAGAGATTACTATAAAATTAAATAAATAAACTTCTCTCTCTCCCAAAATAAATAAATAAAAATATTTTAAAAAAAGAAAAAACGGACACCTGGGTGGCTCAGTCAAGCCCCACATTGGACTCAGCGCTCAGTGTAGAGTCTACTTAAAGATTCTCTCCCTCTGTTCCTCCTTCCGTGCATGCGCTCTCTCTCTCTCAAATAAAAATCTTTAAAAAAAAAACAAACTTAAAACACACACACCTAAGATTGACTAAACTACACTTATTTTAAAATATATAAGATGTTGACCATGCTTTTGACTTACTTCACCCTGCTTTTTATTCTTAATGAGTATAGATGAAAACGAAGCAAGTCTATAAATGTGAGTTACATCTCAACACATTCTACATAAAATGGACAGTGAAGTGTCAAGTCCATCTGTCTCTAGTCCAGAGAAGATTCAACACACCAGGTCACGTGGTGGTTGTGAAGATCGAATGAGATACTATATGGTAAGCGTCTAGTACAGGTGCTCAATAAATGCTAGTAATGATATTATAGTGCATTCACATTGTAGGGACACGCCAGACCTTTCCTTAATATGGTAAATTTGATACCGATACTCAATTACTTGAATTACCTGATCTGATCACTCAGACATGCTGGAAATGGGAATGCTTAATGAAAATGTGCATGTAACAGCTATTTGCTATCCATCCATTTTGGGCTTCACCCCAATCATGACAACAAAACCAAGTGTTTCATCAAACAACCACCACCATCCTTGCTGGGATCCTGGGATGAGGCTGGGATCCTAGCCTCACCTTCCCTAGAAGGAAATGCTCAGAAGGGATGGTTCTTGAGGAAGGCAGAAACCTAGTGGTTACGATCAGGTACTCTTAAGAGGCAAATTGTCCCCTTGACCTAAGGGGACCCATCGTTTGCTAACTTTATTCCATTTCATCTCATCTCAGGAAGCCTTGATTAGGTGCATTAATAAGGGTTCTTGCCTTTCTCAAATGACTCTGTTGTGTTAAGCAATGGTCCTTTTCCATTATGAAACATGAAGCATCAGTATTCACAGTTAAAAATAGTCATCTTTCAGGATGCCTGGGCGGCTCAGTCGTTAAGCGTCTGCCTTCGGCTCAGGTCATGATCCCAGGGTCCTGGGATGGAGCCCCACATCTGGCTCCCTGCTCGGCGGGAGGCCTGCTTCTCCCTCTCCCGCTCTCCGTGATTGTGTTCCCTCTCTCGCTGTGTCTCTCTCTGTCAAATAAATAAAATCTTCATAAAAAATAGTCATTTTTCTCTCTGATTTGTTTTCCAAACTCGTAAGGCTGTACAATGAAAAATATAAATTTTGTGCATAAATTAAAGTTTAAAATATTAAAAGTTTTTAATTAAAAAATAAATTTTGGGGGCACTTGGGTGGCTCAATTGGTTAAGTGTCTGCCTTTGGCTCGGGTCATGATCCCGGGGTCCTGGGATCAAGCCCCACATCAGGTTCCCTGCTCAGTGGGGAGTCTGCTTGTTCCTCTGCCCCTCCCCCTGCTCATACTCTCTCTCCCCGCCCAAATGAATGAATGAATGAATAAATAAATAATACATTTTTAAGAAATTAAAGACAAAATAAAGATTTTATTTATTTGACAGAGAGAGACGCAGCGAGAGCAGGAACACAAGCAGGGGGAGTGAGAGAGGGAGAAGCAGGCTTCCTGCAGAGCAGGGAGCCCGACGTGGGGCTCAATCCCAGGACCCTGGGATCATGACCTGAGCCGAAGGCAGACGCTTAACAACTGAGCCACCCAGGCACCCTAAAGACAAAATTTTTAAAGGTAGCTTAGAATGTGATTTATACAGGATGCCTTAAATGTGATTACACTAAAGGCTTAAATATGATTAAATGAATGATACATGAGTGAAAAACAAAAAAGTAAGCAAAACAAAATGTAACAAAAACCAAAAAGTTGTCATCTTCCCCGTCTCCCTTGTAATTTGGCATGGCTGTTTGGCTTATTTCTGGTCAGTGAGATATAAACAGACCTCTACAGGCATGGCTTCAGAGAAAGCTCTTGTCTTCATGATGAAAAGGAATAAGCTCAGCTAGGACAGGTCTTTTACTCTGTGTCCTTCTTCCTGCTTGTATATAGATGTGATGCCCAGAGGTTTGCCGCCATCAGGTAAGCCTGAGGAAGAAAGCTACACATTGAGGATAATGGATTGGAAAGGCAGCAGTCTGGAGCCTTGCTGCAATTACAGAATTGTTAGATCATCTGCTTTTAGATAACTTGTTTGGGTAAGCAGAAGTAACCCCTTCTTACTGTAGTCAAGTTTTCTGTTACTTACAGCTAAAAACAATCCCAAGTGAAAAAAAGGAAAAGTCAGCCAAAACCAAAATGAAAGCAAGCCATCATCATTAACAATAACCAGTTGCAAAGATACTAACAGAATGCTCATATAACAAGGGAAAAATAGCAAAACAGCAGGTGGTTTATTTTATGTGCATTAAAATACGATGCATTATTTTATATCAGTTAAATCAGCAAAATAAATAAAAGCAACAAAAGTTAAAAAAAAAAATTTGATGCCTCCAGAGAAATGATGCTTATCACTTAGCAAACCGGCTCGTTCTCCAAAGGACAGTGTCATCACCAGGTACGTCATGTTAGGTCATTGGGAATGGCCCTTGTGACTTGTGTGACATACAGCTCTGAATGCCCATCTATCCCTCCTCAGGCGGCTTGGCAGCCCCTTCCTTCTATGCTCAACCTCTAAAAATAAGAGTACTCTACGGCTTGGTCCTGATGCTCTTTATACTTTCTCTTTCTGGATAAACTCATCCAGTCCCAAGTCTTTAAATCATATCTATCAGCTAATGAGTCCCAAGTTATAATTTTAGCCTTAACCCAAAGTCCACACTCATATTTCCAACTGCCTATTTCCATCTCCACCTGAAGGTCTAATAAGCGTCTCAAACCTAACATGTCCCAAACTCTTGCTTCTACCTAACCAGACCTGCACATCCCCCGTCTTCCTAACTTCTAGTCCACTACAGTTACCACCTACCCAGTTGCTCAAGCCAAAAGCCAAGGGGTCATCTTTAATACTTCTTTCCTTTATACCCTTTTAATCTAACAACAAGTCCTGTGGGGTTCACCTCCAGAATATTCCCCATACTTAGCCTTTCTCAACCACCCCCCTGATGTAAGAGTGCCTCATCCCTCACATAGACTCCAACAGTTGCCTTCTACTGGTCTTTCTGCTTCTGCTCTTGCCCCTTATATCTGGTTGTACAACAGCCAAAATTATCTTTTTAAAGCAGAATTCACTGAGCAGCATTCCCTTTAGCAAATAGAGGAACACTCTCCCTCTCTCTCTCTCTCTCTCACACACACACACATACACAAAACAGAATTCAGATTATGTACAAACCCTCCAGTGGTTTCCTATAAAATTAGAATAAAATCCCAACTCCGATCCCTGTCCTGCAGGGAAGTGAGATCTGGCTCCTCCTCACCTTTCTGACCTCATCATCTACCAGTCTTCCTTTTGGTAACTGTTCTTCAGCCCAGGGACCTTTGTGTTCCCTAAGCCCACCAGGCTTGACCCCCTTCTCAGGGCCTTCACACTTGCTGTTTCCTCCACATGGGAAGCACTTTGTCTGACTGTCGCACATCTGGCTCCTTCTCATCATTTACATAGGGCTGCTGAGCACAGCTGTGTATGAAGAGCCTAAGGAGTAGGGCCTGACCTCAGCTCTCTGATTCACCAAGCCGGGCTCTGGCTCCAAGATGCCTGGAGTAAGAAGAGCCGCCTTCTGATGCCACAAAGGCACTGACCAATGGCCAAACGACATGCTTGTGCTGTGTCCTCCCAGAGGGGGGACCATTTTCTAATCAAAATATTATTGCTTATGTCTAAGAAGAAGGGAGAACTAGCAATCACCAGACCCCGATTTTACTCGCATGTCTTATGTGAAAACACAACAGGATTAATCTTGTCACCATTTTACATGTTAGACACTGAGATTGAGAAGAGTAAATTGTCAATCCAGACTTAAAATTGGACTCTAATTCCATTGTACCATACTGTCTCTAAAAGTGAAGAAGCAAGAACTCACTTGGAAACTTCCATTTTTTTCTTGTTTTAATTCTACTTCTTATTTTAGGATGCTTGTAGGAAGGTTAGAACAATCTACAAAGGCGCAACTATAGTCCTTAAGAATAAATTACTATTGCTACATATAGCTACAAAACATACTCCACCTATACACCCTCCAGGTGATAAATTAAGATCAATATGAAATCCAGTAAAACCGGTCATTTTTCTTTTGAGTCTCCACACTTTTGGAGATACAGTTCTTATCCATCTGACTTTTATACATACTTGCTTCTACTCTATTTGGGAAAGTTATGTGTATAAACTTCTAAAATAACAGCTGCATTAACTTATTTGTTTATACTTACTAAGATCTACTTGGGAAGTCAAAATGCAGACCAATGAGTAGGATTTATTTTTCTCTTCTTTGCTGGCTTTTTTTCTTCCTTGTTTTAAAAAAGATGTAGAAGTAGATTTCAGAAGGTTGGCAGGAATCACAGTTCTGTAAATTGAGTCAATTTCTTGATGGATGATTTTGGAAAAATATTTTTTATGTTCCCACTTAAGCTATAAAACCAGGCATAGCCTTGGTCTGGGAAGGAGAAATAGTAAGTACTTTCTCAGCTCCATTTCATGGTCCAAAGTGATTCCTTGTAACTCAACTTCCTTTTCTAGAAGTAATAATAGATAGCCCTTATATAGTGCTTATGATGTGCCAAGCCCTATCCTAAGTGCTTTGCATATATTAAGTCATTTAACCCTTCCAACAACCCTAGGAGGCACAGATAGGTTAAGGTATAATGGCCCAAGGTCACAAACCAGTAAGGTGCAGAGCTAAAATTTAAGCCCAGGAAGTCTGTCTCTGGAATCCATGCTCTTGGCCCCTAGGGCAATACCACCTTTATACCTTCAGGTGATTGGAGGGGTAGTTATGATCCCTTTTGTACTATTGGTGATCATTAGAAATGTACGTAGAATACACTGAAATTGGAAACACTGAAAATAAAGGCCTGCATGGCACCAAAAATCTAACAAATTGTTAGGAAGATGTCAATGCTGAATAACCAATTTCTAGTCTTTGAATGTGTCATAGTTCCAGAAACAACGGCATTCCCAGTAGAGGAAATGGGTCTATTTAGGTGAGGTAACCTTGGTAGATGAATTCAGTTATATGAGCCCATGTTGGCTATAGAAGCTCCCCAGACTAATCCCATCTACCAATTTCCATAACTAGATAGAACCTCAACAGTAGTATTTCAGCAATACTTATCCGACTCACCCACCTAAACAATCTAACTGCAATTTTAGAAAATATGCTCCATGACCTTGAACAAAGCACTTCACCTCCCTGCACCTGTTTTCTTACCCATAAAATGAAGCCATAAAACAATATGATCTTTAAGGTCCTTTCCCTGTCTATCATTATATGATTTTCTGTCCAGACCTGATAGCTTGGAAGCAAGAAGCTGGAACTTTTTTGGTCATCATTTCTTACTACTTCAAAACCCATTCAGTAGTAAAGCAACTTCACAGCTTCCTGACCTTGCATGCTTTCAGACTGCAGTCATGTTACGTTTGGCACTTACAGTTCAAATAAAAAGCTGCCAGGTCAGCAGCAGGGAGCCAGATGTTATGGAGAAGTAGTAAGGGGAGATCTACTCTTTCCTTAGGTGCACACCTGGATTGCCAGTCTAGGGCCACGTAGCAAAGCGTAGCATTGGTAGAATCTAGGGTCCTATCTATGGGGTCTTGGGCAAGTTACTTAACCTCTCTGTGCCTTAGTTTCTCATTTGTAAACTGGAGATGATAATCATCTACCTCACACGCTGTGGCAGAGAGATGAGTCTGTAGAAGAGTGCCTGGCACCCAGTAAATGCTACACAATGTTGTTTTGTTCCTGCTCCTATTTCCTGGATTAAGAGAACCAAAAGGAGAGCCCGAAGAAGGTAAAACCCAAGAGTTGGTATGGCCACTCAAGAGATAAGCTCCCCAGACTAATCCCATCTACCAATTTCCATAACTAGATAGAACCTCAACAGTAGTATTTCAGGGCCAGTGATGGCCCCTAGAAGGCTTCTACCACGTTACCTTGAATGCCAGGCCGATGTGAAATTAAAGCCCTCATATTGTGAAAATGCCCCCATTTGAGTTCTTCCTTTTAAACACGTAGTTAAATTCCAGGCTCCGGAGCCAATATAGTGCTTCCTTACTTTCCCCCCAACTGCAAAGTAAAGCTGACCACCAATTGAAAAAGGAACATCTGGGGTAAGTTCTGATCTGTTTACTCTTGTATGCTCTCCCTCCCTTTTCAAGAAACAATAATAATAGGTGCAAACACTGACCTAGGCAGAGATTAAGTAACTTCCCAAGGTCACAGAGCTGGGTGGTGGAGCCAGAATTCAAACCCAGGCTGTCTGGTTCCAGAGTGTGCACCTGGGGGCTAGTAACCATGGCGTTTTGCTGCGTCACAGACTACATTCAGTGTGCGTGCGTGTGTGTGTGTGCGCGTGTGTGTGGGGGGGTGGGTGTGTTTGAAGAAGAGAACAAAGTATACCCTAAAGGACTTGAGAGGAACGCCTGCTGGATCATTGAAAAATATACTCGTACAGAGCACAAAACATGACATCTGACTGCATCGTGCTGAATGGAGGCCCCCTAAACACCTCCCTTGGGAAAGAAGCTGCAGGCCCCTGATCAGGGAGGGCCTCCACCAGCGGAGGGAGTCAGTTCCAAGCGACTCACAAGCCTCCCAGGACCCTGGCTGGTCATGGCAGCCACACAGGGCAGCAGGTCCTATGGCTCGGGAAGGGGAAGCAGGCGGGGGCAAACAGAAGGCATGGAGCACAACCTGAGGCAAGTCAGCCGCCAACAATAGCTTGGAGGTAACAGCAGGAACATCCCAAACTGAAGTGCAGCTAGCAAGCCCGAGCACTGGGGCCAGCAGGAGGCAAAGGGGCAGAATCACGAACAGCGGGGGTGTGAACCTCAAGCAGTAGCTGCCCCACCACCGCCAGAAAGCTGTACAGAGAGCCTGCGACTTCAGCCAGCAGCTCTTGGAGATATCTGGAGGCCCAGAAAGGAGCGAGAG